TTTTTTTTTTTTTTTTGCTTCTTATCCCTCAGAGGTTTAAATTTAAAAAAAAAAAAAAATTGGCATATTGAACGTTTTTGCTCCAATCTTGTTGTTGTTTTTTTTAGAACCTTCAAGTATTTGCACTCCTTGGTTGATTTAATTGGCATATTGAACGTTTTTGCTCCAATCTTGTTTTTTTTTTTTGTTTTTTTTAGAAGCTTCAAGTATGTGCACTCCTTGGTTGATTGAACACTTTGCGAATGTTCTTTAACATTGAATGAAACACGTTTTACGATCTTTGTTAAAGCCGAAATAAAAACGAGATCTAATAGTGTCGTCTTTCCACCATACCCAGCACAACCACCACAACCATTGTCTTTCATACACTGTAAATAAAAAGCTTTTTGTTCAAACCGAATACATTGAAAGCATCTTTTTTTTTGTTGAAATTTCATTCATAATAATTTACAATATTTTTTTTTTTTTTTGTGTTAGTGAGCAGGTTTATGCTTGCTATGCTCCGCTCATCCGATAGTGGCCAAATATCGATACCGTGTGTGGTTCGCCTTGAGACTTACGGAAAGCGCACTTTTGCATTTGCCGGCCCAACTATCTGGAACGCACTTCCAGTCGCTCTCAGAAACAGCCAGACACTGGATTCCTTTAAAACCGATTTAAAAACACATCTATTTCGCAAACACCTTCTGGGGTGATGCTATCTACCATCTTTTTCGGTTAATGTATATTGACCTGTGTTGCTTATGGTTGAAACGGGATGAACGACTTTGACTGGGTTTGCTCGTATGTATTTTTTATATTGTTGCGTCTGTTTTTAAATGTGGTAAATTTTAGATTGTTTTTATTTCTCTTTTTAATATGGTTGACTTTGTACCGCGCTTCGAGCTTTTGGGGATGAAGCGTGTTTTTCAAATAAACTTTATTATTATTATTATTATTATTATTATAGAGGACCCTCTGATCTTGTTGTTGTTCCAATGATCTTCCCAAGCCCATTTTTTTTTTACTACTACCACTACTACTACTACCACTACTACTACTACTGCCAATACAAATGCTATTACTACTACTACAACTACTACAACTACTACTGCTACTACAACAACAACAACTACTACTACTACTACTACTTATACTACTACTACTACCACTACTACTACTTATACTACTACTATTACCACTACACTACTAACCCTACCACTCCCACTCCCACTTTTATTACTACTAATATTACAACTACTATTACCACTACTACCACTACTACCTATACCACTGCCACTACTAATACTACCACTACTACCACTAAAACTACTACTACTACTAATACTACTAGTACTATTACCACTACTACCACTACGACCACTGACACTACCACAACTACTAATACTAAACACACAGATACACATGCCTGAAGCAAATTTACCTCACAGCATTAGCGACATTTTTTTTTTTTTAAATTTGTGTAAACAATTTTAATTTTCTTGGCAGCGATAACCCGAGAACCACTGCTCTTAAAAAGTGCTTCCTAAAGTCGACGACGTCATTCGCCAATCAAAGCGCCCCTTCTTTCCCTTCTTTCTTCTTGATTTTATGACGTCCCACCCTAGTCATTCCACGGGCTATTGATTTTGTTAGCAACAATGCGGACGAACAGACTGAAAGAATGTTTTAATCTCACATTTAAAGTCAAGCTGCGCCAAAGATACTGTTTCCCAAATCTTTTGTTAAAGCTCACAAAATGGAAGTACAGCCAAAAGAAAAAAAAAAGAAAAATATCTCCACCACGCTCATGGCGTTAAAATGTAATCGATAAATTAATCCTTTGTGCCATTTCCAGATTTGATCATGGCCTGGTTGGGGGGGGNGGGGGGGGGGGGGGGGGGGGGGGGTGGGGTGAATGGAGTGCTTGTCTGGCAGGTCGGAACTCGCCCGGGAAGATCTGAAAGCGTTTACCGCTATGTCGTATGTCACATGGACAAACAACGTCTTGATTTGAGGGGGGACGTGTTTGCTCGACGGGGCGGAAATGAGGGTTAATGGTGGTAACACTGCGACCTGACTGTTGTCACGGGTTGGCAGGTTGACCAAAAGGAGTCTACGTTTGTGTGACATGGGATTCTCATTGGATTTGAAATAACGTTGCAGGTAAGAAAATAGCATAGGACTCATGTCATCTTAGAGCCATGAATGAATGCCATGCGAAATCTCATCAGTGCACTAGCTACTTTTCTTCTGACAAGGCAGCCATGTATTTTATGGCACTGTGGGCGTAAGCCAGCTGACACACGTACAGCTGGTTTGTTTAATGATGTCATTTGTCCATTTTTTTGTTTTGAGGGATTTCGCACACTTCAAAGCTTTGACCGATACATTGAATTTTTTTTAGTAGTCAAAAATATTACTTTAAAAATCACTTTTTGTGTGTGCTCATTTCGCTGGCATTATTTTACCGTGTGTCAATATGTGTGTTTGTGTCTCTCTCTGTGTATGTATGTGTGTGTGTGTGTGTGTGTGTGTGTGTGTGTGTGTGTGATTTTTTCGTGTGTGTGTATGTGTGTGTGTGTCTCTCTCTGTGTGTGTGTGTGTGTGTGTGTGTGTGTGTGTGTGTGTGTGTGTGTGTGTGTGTGTGTGTGTGTGTGTGTGTGTGTGTGTAGTTTCCGTGCACTTCACAAACTATTGCTGTCACTGTGAGACTGAATATGTCTTTCAGTATTTCCCTGGATGACCAAGAGCCGTCTATTTACTCGTGGGGAGTTACGGTTAAAATGTCTATGCATACACCACTACCTGAAACAGGGCTTAATTGTGTTAAATGAACTCTACAGCCCTGGGCTGTCATGTGGGCTCATTGTGGAAGCTGTAAGCTGTGGGCGAAGATAAGGTTAGTGGCGCCCCCCGGGGGCAGGTCAAGATTTTTGACACTCCCCACAGTCGGCCGAAAATGTCGCCCGCGATGTACAAAACAAAACAAAAAAACCAACCCGGCATTTTATTTTATTTTTCTTCTTTACATTCATCACCTAAGCAATCGCGCTGACCCTCTCCTCTCATACACTTTCTTCAACTCTCTCTCTCTCTCTCTTTTTCTATCGCTCTCTCCATTCTACTCACTCTCTCAATATCTGTACCCACCAGCCGCACCAGGCTGCCCGTCTTCCAGTCTCAATCTTCAGCTACTTCATTTCGTCGTAGCAGGCTGCCTTTATTTCTCCAAGTCACATTCACTCAGCACTTCAACTAAAGAGGAAAAAAAAACACACACATTCTCTCTCGATCATGTTCAGCTTTGACGCAACCTGTCCTATCGCCAAAACAAATACTCCGTACAGCGATTACGGTGACGGCATATCTCTACAGCTGTTCACATATTCTTTCTTCCTCCCCGGTCAACATTGTAATGCTAAACCTAGCCGAGGGTAGATTTAACAACCCCCCAAAGTTCAGAGAGTTCGTTCATCGTGTAAGACTTGAGAGTGTGTTCCAGTCTTTATTATTGCGTCACAGCGGGTGTCTTGTCAGTTTGATCCGCCAACTCTGTATACACTGCTTGTGTGTTTACCATATGTTTGAAAATCACCTCCAATCTTCGCACACACTTCGACAATGCCGTCAGTCCTCATTGAACCGAGCCACTGACATAAGATTGCATTGTGTGTGCGTTTAATATCCAGAGATAATGTGTTCAGCGGTCCAAGGAATGTCAGCAGGCGACCCGACACCAGACATTCGTGAAATACTTCAATACATTTTCAAGTAAGGGTCGCACTTTGGCTTTAAGAGCGGCTCTCAAACTGCTGACTAGGAGAGTTAAGAACTGTTAAATAAGTAGGTTACATTCTCTTGTGCCAGGTGTGTGAGTTTCGTGAAGAGATTATAATGTGGTAAGACTTAATTCTACATTCATTAAAAATGACCTCAATAAATTATCATGGCAACTTTTATTTACATAATTATTTTTTTTTAAAGTGGGTGGGGAGAGGTAGAATGGGGGGAGGGACTGAATGAACTAGATATCTAAAATTCCTTGACGCTCGGTCCCTCATACCTGGGAATGATTGATTTGAATTTTCCATAGTGCCAGACAGGCGTCTGGCATATCTTTCCCTCTGCTACTCTCAAACCCTTTCAGCGACACGACACATGGCTGCCACTTGAACACCGGTCCTCAGTGTACAGTGAAAACACTTTGGTTGGGTAGATGTTATCTCAAACGATTGAAACGTCTTGACGGTCTTGGGTGCTATTTGGATGAGAGAGAGAGAGAGAGAGAGAGAGAGAGAGAGAGGGAGAGAGAGAGAGAGAGAGAGAGAGAGAGAGAGAGAGAGAGAGAGAGAGAGAGAGAGAGAGAGAGAGAGAGAGAGAGAGAGAGAGAGAGAGAGAGAG